ACGGCCAAGAGCTGAGCGGTGACTCCCCAAAGCCCCCCCAAATCCATGGGGCTGGGGTCTGCAAACAGAGCAGTATCGTGCGGGGACCGAACAGAGACATACACTAAAGAGAAACCATCACACATATGTAATGTCAACAGTAGTGACTATCCCCAGGTGCACAGATTTAGCAACATAAATCACAGCTATTTCAATTCATTGATGTAAAAATCGATAGTTCTACAACTTCCTGCTTTCTAGGCAAGAGCTGCAGATACAGCGTTAACATGGAAACTTTCAACAGTTGAGAGAAATGCCAGTTTTCTTTCCTATCACCACCAAAACCATCACACTCCCTACCCCCAAAATTGCGGCTGCTGCCCCAGTCACAGTGACTTCTGCAGTCTTTCTCCTAGAAAAAAAGAGTTTACCAGCGTTAAAAGCTTCTGACCATCACTCAAGGTGCTCAAACATAGCACACAATTAAATTCATACTTGGATTTAAGGCATTTTTAGCAGCACTGAAGGCAAAAAGATCACAATCAGATCAAATTAACTATCAGCCGTTGAGCCCAGAGGAGAAAAACAGACTTGTCTGAAATTTATCAGCAATTTTGGGGAGATTACAAAGAAACTTTTAGCCGTTATAGCAGCCTGAACCCTGAAGTTCTTCTCATCAGGCATCTTCTCTTAATTCAAGACACACTCAGCTAAATAACCACGCAGCCACCTCTGTGCTGTGCTTGTTCCTGCTCTGAAATACCTCATCTATTTTTCATATTCCTGGCGCTTTTTGGACCGTGCTGCAAGATCTGCAAGAGATGCATTTTAACCTTTGCAGTTCTGCTCAAGGACAGCAGTGGCTTACGAACCCTCGCTGCGTAAAAAAAATTCCGTATTAAATTTCTGCAGCCCAAACCATGAAGCTATTTACTGAAGCTTTATAGAAACTAATTAAATATAAGGCTCTCGTGGGACTTGAGGAGAAAGAAAATAAGAATTAAGAGATAAATCACTGGCTTTTCTTTCCTCAGCAAATGTACACTCCAATTTAATACATTAAACCAAAAAACAATCTGACAGTCCTTGGTCGGGCACAGATAGGCAGCATCCAAATCTCACATGGAACACACTGCACAGCATAAATTAATTATCTCTGCTTTACCGCAACTTGCACAAAGGAATTGGGAGAGACAATCCAGACAAGGGGATGAGCTCGAGATATCAAAGGCTCCATATGGAGACCGCAGAATCTCACTTTCCAGCTTCACAGAACTCATCATCTTGGTGAGCACATGGTACAGAAACGTATCAAAGCAGCGCTTCCCTCCCCTGCCGACCCCGTGTCATCTTGGCAGGAGAATTTCCACCGCAGGACACGCAGCCGGGTCCGAGTTCCCTCAAGGAGAAGAGCTCCCTCACCAAGAAGAGCCCACCAACACCAGCACCCTCTCTGCTCCTCGCCAACAGCGGGGAACGTTCAAGTCCAGATGGCACGGCCAAACACAACCAAAGCAACGCAGACCGTGCCCACGTCATCTAAAGGCAGAAGACTCAAGGTCAATGCAGTTGTTGGGGAAAGTCACCCTGCCTGGACATCTCAGCAGGTTAATCCACCTCTGCAGTAGAGAGTTTGTAATTGAACCTCCAGATAGCAAAGATCATGGGATGATTGAACAATTGAGGTTGGGAGGGAGCTCAGGAGGTCACCCAGCCCAGTCTCTGGTGGTCACCCATAAGGTCAGACCAAGTAACTCCAAGCTGTTCCCAGTTTGGTTCCAGCAGCCTCCCAGGATGGATGCACTGCACCAGCACCTACAGCCTCCAAAGCACGTCCTCAGCCACGCTGCACAAGTAATTAAGGCAGAAACATCTCCCCCTCCATGTCCCCGACCACTGCAGAGTAAGTTTGATGTGTAAGAGGTAAACAGCCTTCACCAATTCATTCCATCCTCACACTGATCTCCTCCACCCTCAGCTACATGCACAAACCATGGGAAGAGCTAACTCCAACCCAAGAGAAGCAAAGAACCAAAGAACCAGCTCTTGGAAGGAAACAACAAATACCAACAGTTCCACTCATCAACACCCTGTCGCCCCTGCACACCTTTTACAAGAAAAATCACCATTCATTCAGCAACAGCAAACCAAAACTTTTGCATGACAATGATCTATTACCCACAACCAAACTATTCTTTAAATAGTTTTTTGATTAACGAGTTAAGACTATTAAATTTTTAAACAAAGCTCAATCATTCTATTACTAATAATTTAAAGTGCTTAAGCACATGTTTGCGGATTAGTGGTTTTAAATGAAGCCTCTAAACACAGTTTCCAATGCGCAGCCAGAATGGAGGGCAGAAAAAGACACAGTAGGTTCCTAAATGCCAGTAAAAAAAAATAAAAAAAAAATCTGTTTCTTATCTGAGAAACAGACAGTACCTTGTAATTTCTGTAGCGCACCAACACCTGATTCATCTCACTCCCACAGCAACTCCTTCACAGCATCACAACAGAAGAGAAGGGAGACCCAACACTCCAGAATCAGAGTTAACCCCAGTTCCACGCCGTTCCCACAGCTAAAGTCAGAATTCAATCAAAACACCAACATTTTTATGTACTGGTACATTTAATGACTACAGCAGCACCACGCCTTTGGATTTAAGCGTGTCTTCAGCATCATCTCATCTTCCCACCAGGGCAGAGAGACCAGCACATCTCTGGAACTAGAGAGGAGAGAGGTCTCACCGCTCTGGAGATCTCCTACGGAGCCAAATCACTACCCAGCTCAGAACCAAGGGACCTAGGAGATGCACAGCAAGTTTGCAAAAATTTAAGAAGAGCTTATAACTTCATGGTCTCCCCCCAAACTTGATACCTCAAAGCAGAAGGATGATGAGCCCCATTGTCAAAGCAGCTCATGAAGGGTTGAGGTCAGGTGGAGAAGGGCAGCTCCCTGGGTGCTTTGAAACAAATGAGGTGATGGGGGAGAGGATCGTTACCGTTCTGTCAGGGGTATTTTTGAGCTGTTTGGCCCATTGACACCTCCCTCTCCAGGGAAGAGCAGGGGATGGATCACCACCTCCCATTAACCAGGTCTGGAGTCACTGGTACAGGGAGAGCAGAGCTGGGAGGGATGAGTATCTCAAGACAAACTCATAGCTGCCCTCACCACTAATTCAGGAAGGAAACCCCCTTCTCCCAGCTCCTCGTGATCCATTGACAGAGTTCCGCTCTTCTTAACCTCACATATTTAAGAGAGGAACATTTTATAAAGCAAAAAAAAAAAAAAAAGAAATCTGTACACCACCACAACCCTTCACTTTCAGGACCACATTTCCTGACTGAACTGACAGGTCTCTGCAGAAGAACCTTCAGGGGGGACCTGAGTTTTGGCAGCCACAGTCTCTGCACCCAGGACAGGCTCCTTCCCTTTCTCCTCATCCCTTCTTGCTCTGGTTTTTGAAAAGGAAGGGAAAGATTTATTTTCTTTTCTACTGCATGAAAGAACGGAGCGGTGAGAAGATGCTCTACTAAATTCTAAAGCTTTGTTTCCTGTTATCACTCCCAATTCACAAATATTGTGACTACAAAGTTGTATCCATCCCGCGCATCTTGATGGGGTAAATAATGAAAGAACATACAAGCCTCTAATTTTACACTGACTTCAATTCCCATTTCCAACAAAGACAGCTAGAAAACAGGAATAGAAACTAAACTAGTAAAAAAGAAACATGCTCTTCTCCATTTCTAACTTTAAGAACCCAAAATTTAAAAAAAATAAATGAAAAACCTCCCACCCAGCTTTATATCTGCTCAGATAAACATTTTTAACATAAATGTCAAAACTGCTTCTAGTAGGGTCAGTGTAGGACATGCTGCTTGTAGGACAACATATTGTAATGATTTGCATCCAGCGAGCAGCCCCCCCAGTAGGAAAAATAACTAAATACATATTTGCAAACCAATATTTTAATTGTCAGTTTTAATCTAGGTTTCCTACTCAGATTTAAATCACATTTTTTAAATCGCATTGATTTAACTCAATCAAGCCCTGCCCGAAGGCCATCTTTCCTGCACGCTAGGAGCATACCAAGCAAGTTTGAACCGATTAGATAAATCACTAAATCTCATAACTTCCTAACAGCGATACATCAAGCCATACACGAGCCATCATTATTGTTTCAAATAAGCCTTATCTTGAAAACTTTACAAAAATAAGAAGCTAAGTAGACATTTCACCATTCCCACCCCCTTTTCTTTTTTTTTTTTTTTACCTAGGGCACATGATAGCCTGAAACCCAGCCAACTGAATTCTGCAGAAGACTTGCACGACCATTGCAAATATGCCCATGACTCTTTATTGCCTTCCTCACGATGATGAGGATAACACTGATGCATTAGTTCTATTCATTTATATATGTATACATTTATATATGTGTGTGTGTATATTACACACACACTCTGCAACCTTAAGGTGTTACACTCAAGAGCACAGTAAGAAAAAGCAGGCAGTAACATCATGGACCCACCAAGAGCAAAATCCTGAATAATGGAAGTTTCTAGCACAAACAGCTTTCCAGGGACCCTCAGCACGGTCCCCAGTACTACCAGTGGAAATATGCTCTTCTGACATAACACAGATTTTTAAAAGATTCCCCTGATAGGAGAGGGATTAAAAAGCAATTAACCGGCTCTCGTATTTCAAATGCAAAGCCATATTTTAGAACGGCAGACACAAAAATATGGATCTCTCAGAACTCAAAAGATTCGTTATATTCCATAAAAAAAGCCCTTCCCGTGACACCTTAAAACAGCAATACTGTAGTAGGAACCTGCCCCACGGGAGGGAGAAAAAGCACTGCAAACCCGATCCAGCATTGTATTATGAAAAAGCCCTGCAAATTCCAAGCAATCTGCAAATGATTTCCCCCTTCCCCACCCAAACATCTACTGCAAACTCCTACAATTGCAAGTCAGGACTGCAGCAGGGAAAGGGAGGAAAAGAAAACCATTCCTACCTTTAACTTGAGTGTCATATTCAGCTATGATCTCCTTATCCTTTTTGAATTTTGCTGGCGACGTCATGTTTTCTTTTCCAAAAAGATTAACCTCCAAACAGATTCCCCCAGAACACGAGACAGAAATGCAATTTGGCTCCTCTCAATGCGATGCCTTGATTTTCCGCTCGTCCTCCCCCCTCCCACCCCGCAAAAAAAAAAAAGGGGGGGAAAAAAAAATATGTAAAAATAAAAAAATAATCAGTCCATGGAGAGAGGGTGTGAGCTTGGAGCACAGCAGCAGCAAAATGCAGATGTGAAGAGATCAGTGGATGGAAGAGGCAGCAGTTTTGTCTCCCTGCACCAAAACCTTTAGCAGCAGCATCAGCCTAGCGAGATCCTGCAGCCCCCAAAGGCTCTTCCTGATTGCTAACGTTAATAGCACAGCCAGGGAGTGGAAGTCCTTCCGCACAACATGTTTTGTGGGGGTTTGCTTTGCCTTTTCTTCTTTTTTTTTTTTTGTTTTAAATGGGCTCAGAGAGATGATGCAAATCAAATCCCGAAACGAGAGGACGAGGAGCCGTTTTCTTTGGTTTCCCTGTCTGCAAATGCAAAATAAAAAAAAAAAAAATTAAAAAGAGGAGAAATATATATATATATTTAGAGAATTACAGCTTGCAGCCAGCAGTCACCAGATGCGCAGCCAAAATTTCGGATTGAAAGAAAAGCTGCCCTGACATTGCAAAACCCGTCCTTTAAGCAGCGGCAGGAGGGCAGAAAGGCAGGGCGGGCAGGTAACCGGGGGAAAACGCCTGGAGGGCGGGCAGCCCCGGGGGGAACGGGGAGAAGGG